CCATGGCTCGTTACCATGAAATAAGTTTTCCATGGCTCGTTACCATGAAATAAGTTTTCCATGGCTCGTTACCATGATGATCATGTGTGTGGGTATTTGTTTGTGTGCTTATAGAACACTGCTTGTTACTTGTTTAGCTTTAGGGTTGACATATTGGAAATGAATAGATAAATGTAGTGGGAGTGTAGGGGCCAATTTTCTTATTTCGCCCATAATATCAATGTTAGATCATCTCCATTAGTTTGGAACCCTCTAAATAATTAAATATTAATATTTTAATATAATATTATTATCCAATTCAATTCTAAAATTAAAAATAAACGAATGAAAAAGTGAAACTAAATTTTACCTAAAAACCAGTTCTAAGAGCATGATTATCGCTGGATACCCTTATGGGTTTCTTAAACATTTTTTACTATTAAAGTGGGTTAAGAATATACGTGGTACGGAGAAACCATCTCTTAAGATTCTAAAACAAAAGACGTATTATATTTAAAAGTATCTCATCTGATTAGTTTATTAGTAAATAATTATAAAAAAATCAGCTAAGATGCCTCATTAATCATAGTCTAAAAGAACTTCCAATAGAGGCTCTTAGAGGGGTTCTTAAACAATATTGAGCTAAAAAATAAAGGGAAAATGATGTATTTCCCCACGACAACTTTCATATAGTTGTAGATCCCCGTATTGTTTCAAACTCGTCGTATATCCCCATTTTCATAGTTTTGTCAACCCGTTTACCCATATACCACGATTTTGACAGTTTACGAAATAAACCTGATGGGAAATTACGTAAACCAACTAAACGAACTATACCATAGACCGGACCTCATTTAAAACCTGACCCGACGATGAATTTGATGCTTTTCTAAACCCGACCGACGCAATTTTGAAGTCGTTAAATTCCCAATTCGGGGATGAACCCTAGATTTTTGATTTGGTCAATTCGTGTATGATTCAAGAAGGAGATTGAAATTCTGTATCTACGCTAGGTTTTGTAGTCTTATTTCGATAATAGGAAGCTCGATTTCATAGTGTAACAGCTTTAGAACTTCATTTGCTGATATCGATGTGTGTTGGTTGATGAAGGTTACATTTTGATTTTCATGATGAGCAATGTGTCTGGAGCTTCGAGTGGAACATCAGCTGTTCGAGGAAGAGGCCACCATGTGGGTGTGCCAAAGAGATGTTGGTGTGGGGAAGTTATTGTCGCTAAAATATCAAAATCCGATGCTAATCCTTGCTGGAGATACTATCGGTGAGCGTTTGCTGCGGAACAGAAGGTAAATGTCGTTTTCCCTTATTTGACATTGGTAAATATGTTTTTGGTGAAGCAAATGATAATAGATAGTTAATCCCATTGTTATTCATTGTTGTAGCTTAACAATGATAACCACATTTTCAAGTGAGTTGATGAGGTTTTTTTGAACGAGATAGAGACATTGGCGTTTAGAGTTAGAAGACTTGAAGAAGAGGTGAAAGAGCTTAGGACAGTTTCTATGGATGTCGAGAATAAGATGTTTGAGAAGCTTGAGATTAAGCTAGAGAAGGAGATTGTTGAAAAAGTGGAAGAAGTTCTTGTTGAAGCCAAATCTGACATCAAGAAAATGATGTTACTTGTGGGTTTAGGATTTGTGATCATTGTAGTTTGCAGTAAACTAGTAGGCTGAGTATTTTTTTTTTTTTGGGATTGTTGTGTGGAAGTCTGCTTTTTCTTGGATCTTCAGACTAGTCTTGTGTGTTGTTTTTGTGGAGAAATGAAACCAATCTCTTAAGGTTCTTAAAAATGTTTGGTCGTTAGTTTGGTCATTAGTCATGGCGAATGAAGGATTGCAATTACAAAACTGCATCTTGTTTCATAATCCAAAAACATGGTTCAAGACAGATCATTATAGTACCAAAATAAAAACGATAAGAGGTCTTAAGAACATGATAAAAACAGAGCCTAAAAACATGATAAAGCAGCCTAAATATAGACTAAAAACAGGTCTCAAAACATAATAAAACGCTCAAATCCGAGAAAAAGTACTTCAAACCACATCTTCAATTCTCAATCTGAGTGGGAACTCCCTGTGAAGGTTCAACCTGAGATGCTGATGCTGATGCTTCACCATCAAAATCCTGAAATAAAGCGGATAGCAAGAGAGATTACCTTACCTTATCAAAAGAACATGAGACTAAACCTTTGAATTATAACCTTATTTGGTTTCTTCTTCTTATGGAAACGTGAATTATGGCCTTCTTTTCCACAGGTACGGCAATGCATGGTCCTCCTCAACACTTTGTCTTTCTTCTTTGATGGTGACTCATTAATGTCTCTCTTCCTTTTTTTTTATCAGCCTTCGTAACCTTATGTCGACCAGGCATATTTGGAATGACAGGTTGAACTATGCGAGGCTCATTTCCAACTGGCCAAAACTTGGCGGCTCTAATTGAAACAATGCCGTCTTTGTAGATGCTCCTCCACTTGTTGGTCCTAAACCAGTGACAAACATAGTCTTGAGCTTCTAGTCCCTTCTTCAGCATCACACCATAGGCATGCTCACAAGGAATGCCAGTGATTTCCCATCGCAGGCAGGTACAAGTCTTATTCGCCAAGCTGACTCGGTAAGTGCACCCGTTGAGTTGAGAGTCATACATCTTGTTGGTGGAAGGTCTCACAATGCATTCCGACGCTTTCTCTTGCAACTCCTCCAAGTATATTTTTAACATATGGAGTGCATATGCCTTCTTGGTTAGTGGCTTTAACATCTCGTTTGGCTATGCAAACCATTGCAAGTCTCGCAATGGTCTCCAACATTGAGACTAGAGCCTTGTCTCTAGCTTTACCTGAAAAAACAAACACAAAGAAACGATGAATCACAATGACACACGAAGAAACAAGAAAAACATACATTGTATACACGCATTCATAACTAAACAAAAACAGACATTCATACCTATGGAATTGTTGAATGATTATGTGGAGTTATTTTCCACATCCTCATAAATAGGGTCCTAGCTTATAGAATGCGCTGCACCATGTTTCTGGTTTTGTTTTCATCAAATCCTTATAAAGAAGGAAATCGTAGAGCCTTATCTTCTCTAGATTAGCATTGTAATCTATCGCATTGTAGCTCCAAGCGAGATTCCAAATTAAACCCTTCAGCTCTGGTTTTTCTTTATGCCCTTTATTCAAATTCATGTAGATGCATCTAACACACATTCGATGCTCAATCTCAGGCAACTCTGTCTTAGCAGCACTCATCAAGCCCTTCAAATAGCATCGAGTGAATTCGTAAGTGAACATTGTAAGTGAACATAAATACGCAAAAAAAAAGAGATGACTGGTTCATAAGTGTTACCTTTTGACGATCAGAGACCAAGATATATCCATCTCCATCTCTTAGGTCTAAATCTTTCTTGATCTTCTGAAAGAACCACATCCAATTATCCGTATTTTCTTTCTGTGCCACAGCCCAGGCGATGAGATAGATTTTATTCTCTGCATCTCGACCATTAGCTACAAACAACTCCCCTTTCTGAACTGATTTCAAAAAGCACCCATCAACTCCTATAAGAGGCCTACAGTGCTCTTTCCATGATCGTCTAAGGTTATCAAAACAGACATAGAACCTTTGGAAGACATGATGTCCTTTCTTATTGATGATACAATCAACCTCAACCAAAGATCCTGGGTTTGAAACCTCTATCTGATCAGCTTTTTAGTCACGCAGTTGTGTAAACTGCTCTTCGTACTCTCTCTCAATCCACCTCAGAGCTTTATTTCTCCCATGCTGACATTGAGCTCTGGTCACTGATATTTTTCACTTCTCCATAATCATTTTTTCAATCTTCATAGGCATGAAGTATTGTGGTTCTGCACGGATCTTATCGATGAACAAACGGGCAATTTGAGGAACTTTAAGCATTTCACAAGTCCTAGTTGGTACACAAGTATGCTTCGACTGAAAAAACTGTAATCTGCCACTTCTTCGTTTTGGATGAAACTGAGCTATAGACATGCCAAAAACACCCTTTACCCTCACATGTAAAGTTTATTGCCGATTTGTTATACCTTCTCTGCCTAATATTCAGACCAGTTCACAGAGCGTAGTCGAGCACGGCCTCCTTAAATGCAAAACCGCTGATGAAGACTTTGAGCAGGTATAAGTGACAATCGCCTCTTCTCATGTTGTTGCGCCTTTTAGCCCTCTGTTGCTCTTCATCATCATCGGTATCAGGATATATATTATGCCTGATTGAAGACTCATCACGAAACTGGGATAAAGCTTCTTCAATGTCGAACTCACGACACTCCCTTCGATCCTCGACATCTGAATCAACATCTTTTATCGTCGTCGAATTCAGGCACATTATGTCATTCCACTATCGACATTGAAGAGAAAGGAAGATACCTCCACAATCTACAAGACAAAACGAGGAATGAAGAGATTAGACATAAACCCAGAAAAAACGAGCAGATAGTGAAACCCAGAAATCAAAATCGTAATCAATAAACCCAGAAATTCGATTCGCAATGTCCAAACCTAAAATCAGGTCAAAATTTGTTATAGGTTGGTTTTTAAATGGTTAACCTTTGCTTGGTTAACAGTAAATCCTGTTTAATTATGGTTTATGTGGTATGTGGGTAAATATGATACGAAATACACAATAATGGGTAAATGGGTTGACAAAACTATGAAACTGGGGATATACGATGAGTTTGAAACAATACGGAGATCTATAACTATATGAAATTTGTCGTGAAGAAATATGTCGTTTTTCTAAAAATAAATCAAAAATTAATTTAAAGTTTAAAACCGATCCTTATTAGGAAGAATTATTAGAGCATATTCAACCCTAAACCTCTTAATAGGGCTTTAATTGATTTTTTATTAATATTTTTTGTAAGCTATAAAGTTAAGAACTTTTCCATTTTTTATGCTTCCAACCTTGAATCTGTATTGGGGTTCTTTTATTTTTGTCAATAAATGAAAAATGGGATAAAAAAGAGTGTCTTAATAAATCCATTTCCATGCTTTGTTCATAATCTCGTCTTCTACAAACGGACGCAATGACCACATCATAGTGTAAGTCTCTAGTTCACCAGATGATGACTTCAAACTCAGTGATCTCACAATCTTTTCCTGCATCGCATAGTCCTGTTTCACCATACTGTAAATTACTGCAATAACTGCACCGTACTCTGTCACTTCAGGTGTTTCAGGGAAAAGGACAGTCTCGTTCTCCTCATCACACGTTATTTGTCGTAATTCATCACATGAGTCTTTATCTAGCTGTGTGGAAAGCTTTGTGGCGGTCTCAATTACAAGGGCTGCTTCATCGGTGAGACGCTCCAGCTCAATTAACAAGCTTTGAGCTTTGATTAGGTGGTCAGAAAGCCCTGATAGGGATGTATACAAAACTCTTGTGCTTTGTGCAGCAGCATCGATGTTAATACATCCAGCTTCCATATATGATTTAAGCCGTCTTGTTTCATTGTTCTTGATAATGTTCTCGATCAACTTGGATGAAGTAACTATTGGAGGGCGTTGGAGATAGCTGAGTCCTTGCTGAAACCGTAGAAGAAAGCTGTTTGCAGCATTCCCTAGTTCATCAAGCTTTGTGATCTCTGTCATAAACTCTTTGAAAATCTCGGAGATTTTCTGCTTCATTTCGCTTCTCGCTTCCATCTCTTTATCTTCCATTCAGAGTGCGATTTTTGAAGGAGACGAATTGAGACATGAGAAATGGTGACAGACGTCGCCGGAGAATCTCTGATACAATCTCAATCTCGCCGACGCCAAGCTCACCCAGTTCACTCTTGGCACAGACAACAACCTCCGATACAATCTCGACCTCAATTTCACGATCCAAAACTCTAATCGACGGATCGGTGTCTACTATGACCAGATCGAGGTCAGAGGCTACTACGGAGATCAGCGATTCGGCTCCAGCAACGTCGCGCCGTTTTATCAGGGCAAAAAGAACACGACGGCGATCGGAACTAAATTCGCAGGACAGAGCTTGGTGGTGCTTATCGGTGGAGAGAGACCAAAAGGTTTTCTTCAAAAAAAAATTTCCTCCTCTAATTAGAAAATGCCACATCACATTGAACCTCTTCTAAAACGGGTTCTATAAATTCTTATATTAGAACGGGTTCCACAATAAAGTGGGTTTCTGTGATTAAATAAAACTTAAAATATGTTTTAAACCCCATGTTTGAACCCCATGCAGCTCCAAACGCAGGCTTTTGCAGAGATTCTTAAACACACGTGTCTTCCTAGTATTGGCTTCTGTCAAAAAATGTTTTTTGTGGGTTAAAGACCATTTTCACCAAAGCGAATCTTGATCGAAGGAGAATTAGAGAGAGTACGAAGAAGAATCGATTTTATAGTGGGCTCCCGCGTTGCTGTTGCTACATATCAAGAATCTGACCCAAAAGTCAGGTGCATCCTCGAATTTCCGACCAATTCGTGTTAGAAGTGAATCGGAGAAGAGAACGGTGAGCACCGGAGGAAATGGCGGAGCGACGGCAACGAACAAGCAGGTCATATTGAGAGACTACGTGACCAGTTTCCATTGGAATCCGAGATCTTAGTCGAGCTCTGATGTCTTGCTCCGTTTTCAACATCCCAACATTTTCAAACTTCTCGGCTATTTCGACGATTCAGGTAATGATTCTGAAATATTATTCCTTTATTAGCAAATTCTGGAGCTTGATTCAGTCAAGAAACGTTATTTAAGCCTTTGATTCTGTAAAAGTTGGAGGCTATTAGAATCAAACCAAATTTTTGAGAATTGTTATTTAAGCGACACTGAAGTTTCGCTTCTTTGTTACTCGAGACATTTTATCCATATTTCTTGCTATTCAGCTTGTAAGCATTCAATTTTCCATATGTGCTTAGGTTTTCTAATTGACTTCATCTTTTGACAGGTAATTGCTGCATTAGCTTACATGGTCTATTTCATAGATAGCTACCAGCAATTATGGCTTCGTCATATTTGGGGTTTTGACAGTGAGATCACGTTTTATTACATCTATGGTATGATACCAAACTATGATATCTAAATGCTCCTCTATATGATATAGTATTTCAGTAAAATATCTGTTAGATGCAAGTGTTCTTCGGTGCATCAGTCGTCAGCTATTAACACGCCTAGAAATGCTAAGCCTGCTGTTGTATTTATGTCCTAGATAACGCTTTGCATTAATCAGAATAGGAGATTGCAATATAATGAGTTCTATCTTGGATGATTCGTCGGTCATACTTCTTTTTGAGAATCAAAGTCTGAATCTTTATGTTGTTTGATCAAGCAGATTGATATCTTGATGTTCTAAATTCTACAAAATTCTGAGTGTGACTGAGTGAAGACAATGCTGAGTGTGGCTGCGGTTTGTATTAGTAAACCACCATCTCAAAGACCTTCGGCATCTCAAGTGGTGGAGACTCTTGTACAGAGAATCCCGTCTTTGAATTTCCTCGGTTGTGGTAAATTGTAAAGGAGTCTGAGTTTAAAAGCATCAAACGATTTTATGTAGTTGAGAGTTTGTGCTTGAAACACAGTTCTTGAAAAACCAGCAAGAAGAAGAAATTTTGTAAATACCCTGTTTTGTTATGTGAATAGCATCAGCAAATAACATTTTTTTTTTGTAATTAGCATTTTAGTTTCAATCCTTTGTTTGATTATTTTGTCTGAAAATATTCTTAGAGAGAAAGTAGTTATCTTGACATTTATGTCAATGTAATGTAAAGTTGAAGCTTAAAGTAGAAGCATGACACTTTTTTTGTTTATATACTTGCCTCCTTCTTTGTTTTAAAAAAGGAACATAACATTTGTTTTAAGAACCCCTCTCAACGGTTCACCATTGGAGAATATTTACAAAACTAAAATGAATTTTTATATTAATTTATTATTAAATTTAATAATACAAAAGTTTTAAATTTTTTTGAATGGATTCAACCATTGGAAATGGTCTAAAGTCTTTTATTTAGAAACTCCATCTTAATATATCTTTCATGTTTTTTATTATTTTTAGTTATTTATTATTTAGAACTCCATTAAAACCCAATGTTGGAAATGCTCTTACACTTTTGACAAGAAAAAAGCCACCGAACCATGAGGTCTGTACACCCATAACCATGTCTATGTTATGGATTGGGAAACATAGACCTAGGGCTTAATTTAATAAAATACTTATAAAATTTATTTTTTACAAAATATATTATACTATAATTTGAAATTCGCATTTAATTGTTTTTTCATTCATAAAAACATTAAAAATCTAATTAATATTGCTTGTAAATTTATTTTTTGTTATAAAAAAAAATTTCAACAAATTGATTATGACAAGAACTAATTCTGATTTAGTGGTCATTTTTGTATTAAGACTAGTTATATAAAATGCATATGAAATTTTGTATGTTGTTATTTGTTAGTGATCATGATCGTATTTTTCATCTTTTATTTTTAATCAAATATTATATTATAAAATTAGTTTTTTTTAAATGAATAAACTGAAAACAATAAACGAAACAAAAACTACATCGTCCAAAGTGTACTACCAAATTTATTCAAAATAAATGAAAAATTTATATATTCAGAATTACAATTTGAGATCATCTATTTATTGACTAGTTCATATTCAAATCTTAAAGTTAGACTAATTTTGGTCTGATTTAATACAATCAAAAAGTATATCTAATCAAAGTGAATTTGACCATTTGTGATGTTTGTTATTTTGCTAATATTTAAAATTCAGTAACTTTTGCTAAGTATAGGATGCAAAAATTGGTCCATACATTTGTAAAATTTTGAAGAGTTATTGAGTTTTCATCCTACAAACTTTGAAATTTGATTTACTACAAAGACTTATTAAGATTCATTTATAGATGAAATTTCTTATATAAACCAAACCAATATTCATTCATTAGACTAAAAACCAGATAAACCAAATCAGTATTCACTCATTAGATTATCTTGCATATTGATTTAGATACAAAGCCATTTAGTATATGTTTGAGTATTTGAGTTCATAATAGATTGGGAGATTAATATTTTCATATATTTATTATTTTATATAGTTTAGTAAAATTGGACAAATGATAAAAATTTCATGACCAAGTCTTGTACAATTATTTTGTTTTGTTTCTACTTTTTAAAATTTACGACTGTCTTTATTAGTATCTTTATTAGTCTTGGCACGACTCTGTGCACACCATATTGAAACTCTACAATGTACTTTCCTGTTTAAGTTCCTTTGTTTTCTTTTTGTATATATTAATTTGCGCACATTCCTTACATGTCAATTTTAGAAAAATATTTCAAAAGGAACATATGTCTTTTGGATTTCGGAGAGTTATCACCTAACTTGATTTTCCAATGTTACTCAAACAAGTTCAATAGAACACTTAATTAAAAACTAACTTAAGACCAGGATTATTGCAGTCTTTTACATGGATTTCTTATGACTTTTAGCGATTAAAAAAAAAACCCAAAAAAGGACGTCTTTTATTCTGGATTTTAAAGAATGTTTCTTGTGAGACACGTGTTACAACAATTCTTAAAATAATGTTAAGAAATCCAAAAAAGTATTTAGCAATAATCATGCTCTAACATCACCATGTCCGCACGTCAATACACTAATCAATCCACAATCGTGCACCGAGCTTTGAATAATATAATATCTGTTTTTGGGAACTCTTATAACAAACCAATCCAATATCTTTGAGCATGTATATGAATATTATCTTGAACAATAATGATGGCTTTTTTTTTTCCCCCGCTTACATGAAAGATAAACAAAATTATACTCACTCTGTTCAGAATTAGTTGATGTTTAAGGTTTTTATACATAGATTAATGATGCATTTAATATTTATTTTTTCTACACTAAAAAAATTATCTATAATTCATTTAAATATTATTTAGCCAATAAGAAAACAATTTGCAGAATATAAAAAGTCAAAAACAATAAAAATTCATTAAATTTTACATTTAAAAGTGAGAACATCAAATAATTCTGAACAAAAAAAAACTTCATAAAATATCAAAATAATTCTGAAGAGACGGAGTAGTAGAGAATAACGAAGTGGTTCAACAAATTAAAAAAAAAGTCAATGCCGTTGCTTTTTCACAACCCGCAATGGCCCCACCACTCAAATAATAATTTTTAAATTAATTATGTTTTATTTTAGTGGAAAAAAAAATCTTTAGTCTTCTGCTTCCTCGTTTCTTCTCGGATTTCTTTCTCTTCTCTCGCCAGATCGCCGCCTCCTTCTTCCTCATTGCAGATCCACCGTGGTACGCCGATTTCTTATATCCAGGAGATCCAAATCGGTATGCAGATTATTTGATTTTTCTTCATTGATCCGTCTTGTTTTCAATTGTTTTTTATGGAAATTCTCAACAGGTTTACGCGATTTTTCTTCTTATTATAAAAATTCTATTTCTTGGAAACAATGCTTCCCGTAGCAAATTATATATCTTACTTTCTCTATTCGGTTTACTTTCGAGTGTATAGTACCGATTCTCGTGGTTTCTGATTACCCAACTCATTATTTTGCTTGGATTGTGGTCATTTTGTTCCAAGGCTTTAATGCTTTCAGCGAAAAATGGAACATTTCTTGTGAGTAAAGTTGACTTTTTCACAATCCTGCTAAAGCATATTTATGGTGTTTTGTAAAAATGTAGCTTTATACTTTTCTGTCACCTCGTACAAGATCAAATGTTGTTGAATCTCTCTGGGTATTGTGTTAGCTTCTTCACCATTACCACTTCATTGTAATACTTTCCCATGATAAGAGATTCTGTACACAGTATTGATGTTTAATCTCTTGTTTTGTATCAGCCATATTAGCTCTGAGTATCTGACGAGGACCAGCCAAAAGAGTTTGTCTTCCTTATAAAACTATGGACCATCTTCCTGTGGAAGTTGTTGGAAACATACTGTCACGGCTCCGAGGAGCTAGGGATGTTGTGATAGCTTCTGCAACATGTAGGAAGTGGCGTGAAGCTTGTCGTAAGCATCTTCAGACACTTTCTTTCAACTCAGCTGATTGGCCTTTTTATCGAGACCTCACAACTCATCGTCTAGAGATCCTCATAACTCAAACCATCTTCCAAACCACGGGGCTGCAAGGCCTCTCAATTATGATGGACGATGCAAACAAGTTCTCAGCTGCGACTGTCATTGCTTGGCTTATGTATACAAGAGACACATTGCGTAGGCTGTCTTATAATGTCAGGACCACTCCAAATGTCAACATTCTTGATATCTGTGGGAGGCAAAAGCTAGAATCTTTAGTTTTGGCTCATAATTCTATCACAGGGGTCGAACCAACATTCCAGAGATTCCCTTGTTTGAAGTCCCTTTCGCTGAGTTATGTCAGCATTTCAGCCTTGGATCTGAACCTTTTGCTTAGTGCATGCCCGATGATTGAAGCTTTGGAACTCGTGAGCCTCGAGATTGCAATGTCAGATGCGCAAGTGACGATTGAACTGAGCAGCCCGACGCTGAAGAGTGTTTATTTCGATGGGATTAGCTTGGATAAATTCATCCTGGAGGCTGATAGTATCGAGTTTTTGCATATGAAAGACTGTGTCCTCGAGCTCTTTGAGCTTATAGGAAACGGGACCTTGAAACATTTCAAGCTTGATGATGTTAGTGTCATAACTCTTGATATCATGGAGACTTCTGAAAGCCTTGAAGTAGTTGATGTAAATCACTTCACAATGGTCTGGCCAAAGTTCTATCAGATGATCTCAAGATCTCAGAAGCTGAGGAAACTCCGTCTATGGGATGTGGTCTTTGATGATGACGATGAAATCATCGATCTTGAGTCCATTGCTGCAGGTTTCACACAACTGACACATCTCTCGTTAAGCTACGACTTAAAAGATGGAGCTGCTCATTACAGTTTGCAAGGGAACACTCTGTTGGAGAACGTGACTGTACTGGAGCTTGGATGGACCGTGATCAATGATGTTTTCTCGATCTGGGTCGAGGAGTTGCTGAGAAGATGTCCGAATTTGAAGAAACTGATCATTTATGGGGTTGTCTCGGAAACCAAAACACAGGGAGATTGTCAAATTCTGGCGACATTCACATGGTCTATTGTTCAACTCATGAGGAAATACATTCATGTCGAGGTACAGTTCGAGTACGAGTAAATGATTCTTCTTCTCGATTCTGTTGTAATTGTAAACAAGTTTGAAGCATGTAAAGATTGGATTTTTGAAGTCGTTCTTAGCATAAACTGTAAATAATGTCTTCTTTTTCTCTGTTCTTTGTTTTCTCGGTTTGCTTTACTATATTTCCTTTGGTGGATTGTTGATTCGGTCGGTGCCTAGTCACGAACCGGAATTGAACCGGCCGTAAGCAAATCGAAACCTATATGAACCTAATGATGATGCAAATTTTGTTTTCCATTCGTTTGTATTTAGTTTTTGTTAAACATTAACAAAGTTTTGTTTTTTCTTAAATAAAATATTTAAGAATTGGGGTCCACTTGAAAAGTATTATGCAATCAATGTATATAAACGTAAATACAAACGCAAAATAAACAACCGATGCCTAACCTTCGATGTAAACCAAAGGTTGACCATCATTGATTATTTAACTCGACCGACACTTTAACATATATCTCAAGTTTGAAGAGTTTATATGTATCCCATCGCAAGGATCTCTGTCACATGATTAATTTCTTGGATGAAAAATAAAACAAAAACTAGATAAGGATGTTTTGCAGAAAAGAAATTTCAGTAGTGTAATCTATCTCTTTTTTCTATAACTTAACATTTATTCTACTTTTCACTTGCTCTCTCCTTCTCACAAAATTTGTGGATAGTATGAAAAACCACATCATGTGACCAATATTTAGCTAGATGATAACATTGAAGGTTCATTTTCATGTGCCTTGCAGTTTCCCCTTTCTTCTTAATTCTGATTGTGTATACATACGTTTTTTTTTTGTCATCTTCCTTAATTGTAGAAGGTTGTTTGGGGTTTTGTTAGATGCATGGTGCATCTAAGGTGGAGTAAATGGTAAGATTTTGTCCTCACACTGTAACTGTTTTTGTCACTGATCAAAGCTTATTGTCCTCACACTATTGTATCTTAGTGTTGTGTAATATTATTCTATATTTCTTGTCGTTTTTATTAATTACTCTCTGGCCCAATCTCCATGCCTTCTTCCAATCCAAGAGCTTCTATATAGATACTCTGCATCCTTCCTAAAACTGTTAAATACATTTAAAACAAAAAAATTATGTATAGATGGTACTAGTATTGAAACTAGAGATAGTCACGGATGGATAAATTTCATATAATATAAATTTGAATCTGTTTATATCATATTGAAATACATATTACATAGATTGAATAGTTATAGCGTTTATAATATATTAAAAGGAAAAAAAGAAAGAGGATTTGGTATGTAGATTTTGGTTTGTAGTAATGTAGAGAGGCATGGGCATGCATGTCCCTTCACCTACTTAGGAAACCTCTATTATGTCTCAACCTCTTTTTTAGGTTATGAAGAGTCAATTAAATAACGACACCACTTACGTCAAATTGTTCAAGATGACATCAACGACTTACAAACGAAAAGAAACTTCTTAATTTTCAACTTTATTTCTCTTCAATCTAAGCCACAAATCATACGTTAAATCACAAATTATCATCGATTTCTAAGAATGCAATCGTCTATACGTATTTGTAAAGTATGAGAGTAAGAGAGGAGAAGTGTGTCCTCAATTTTCGTGTTTCTTCAGTGATAAAGTTTTATCGGTCTATCAATATTAATTAATTAAGATATGATTAAAGGTGATCGTAGATAAACTATAGATTACCCGACCCTTAAGTATATATTTATTAACACTTGCACTAAATTAAATACTATATTTTGACTACTCTATTAAAATTAGGTTTGTGAGGTTTGTGATAAACCAGACGTAAGTACTGACAATATAAAACAAAATATCGATAAATCTGTTTCTAGACTGTGATATTTTACCACACCAAAATAATGGAGAAAACTGTGACAAGACTTTTGAAACTATTGGTCGAAACAGTAAATTAGAATTATGTCTGGTCCAATTTTTAAAATTAGGTCAGTTCTGCAATATTAGAAGACATAAGTAAATGATAATGAACCAAATAGTAAAAAAGACATAATGTGAATCTTTTGTTTATAAAGTGTTTTTTTTTGTATTGGTTCAGAACTGTTTTCAGAAGTGGTTCTAAACATTTTCTTACGATGGAATCAAAGTGGTTTTGAGAAATAAGTTATGATATGTTTTAATCATTTTTTTAGAATGACAGAATTTTTTTAGTAAATTCTAAAATAGAAGGTGTTCTACGACTTTTTGGAGGAGAAATCAAGAGTGGAATTTATATATTTGAAAAAGTAATTCTGAATATTTTCAAAAGGGATTTGGATTGTTTTAGACGAGAATCTAACTAATATGCCTTTTGTCTCTCACATGAACGAAACATACCCTTGCATATCTTGGTTGGTTATGTTTCTAATTTCCTTGTTTCAGCAATAATAAAAGATTTTCTTATGCTTTGGTTGTTTTTTCCTGAAATAATAGCATTTCTACAATTTGTTTAAAAAATGCGAAAGAGGCAAAGCTTAGTGAGTTGAACTATTAAGGGCTGTTAATGTAGTATTCACCTAATCATCATCCATTAGCCTAGATGAGATCAAACACAATCACATCATCCATATAAACTTACACATACATACACCACATGTACAAATTCTAGATGGGATATATATATGTATAAACAGATGCGTACACGCAAATCCATATATATGTATGTATGAATATGTTTTGGATGTTAAAAAGATGAAATCAAAAAGCATAAGTTCTTGAGGTAGGAGAGTCGGCAATTTGAAGAGTTTGTTGGATGATTTTGTGTGCCTTTCTGCTTCTCAACTCAAATCTCATGCTCTCGCTCTTCTCTATCTTCTCATACGATGAAGATGATGATGACGACGAGGATGATGATGATGATGATAATGATGATCTCTTCCGCAACTTTAGACTAGTCTTTATCTTCGACTTCAAGCCTTCCACAATCTTCCCCAATCTCATCCTCACCACCATCTGTATGTCTGAAATATGTACACAAAAAAAAATTAAATCTTGAATTGTAGAAATTGATTGTTGACTTATGTGCTTGATGTATGAACCATATCTACACATGATAAAGATGAATCCAAAAAGAAATAATTATTAAGACCTCTATCATTTTTCTTGTAGAAAATCTGCAAGACGAATAATTGAATTACAAGAGCCTATATATTTACCTTTATGAGTCTATTATATACGTATATGTGTACATCTACATACATGCAATTGGGTGTTTTTAAAAAAAAAAAAAATTAAACTCAACGATGATTTAGAGGAAAAAGAGGCAAAAGAGAAAAATCATAAGAGAGAGATAGAGAGTAGAGAAATTTCGAACCTTTTGGAAGAGAGATTTGGAGATATAAGAGAAGATGAAAACAAATGATAGAGGAGACTATACATATATATTGTGCATGTGTGTGTGTGGTTCCAGGCTGATGTCAAAGGTTGTGTGACTTGTGACTATGTGAGTCTCGTGACCTTATTTTCCAATCTTTAACTGATATTCTTTTATTAAATATCAATAAAATAATATATAGTTAATATTTAGGTACTATGGTTTGGTTAGTCAAAGATTCAGATTTTAAGACAGTACCAAATTATGGTTGTTGGGAAATTATATTATTATATTGTTTCATACATTATGACTTCCTCGCGTAAGTAAAAGGGGAAAAAAAAAGAAAAGAATGAATACAAAGAAAGAAAAAAAATGAAAAGCCATAGTAATATCTCCCTCGTCCCAAAACACGTGGGAAAATATATAGTTCTTTTTTTACTGATAGTTATTGAGCAGAACGTAGAGTTGAAAAATTAGTGGTTATCCAGTCACTGTCGATTTATCTTCTATAATAATGTTATCAAGTTCTGTTTAGTGATCTCCTGAATAGTAAAGGTGAATGCTAAAGAGAGAAAGCTCAAATGATATTAGGATTTTTTTTTTTTTGTTTCCACCACACGAAACTACAGCTTATTTTTTTTCTCCATTACTTACTAATAGAATTTGTTATAAAAAAATGTAAGGTCTCAAACTTCTAATCCGGATCTTTTATCCATATTAAAGCGTTCGGTTCGATCAATTACGTACAAACAAAACTCCAATTTTTGAACATTTCTGCACGTAATTTGTATGTGTTCAGTCATTTTAGAGTATACACTTAGATTAAACAGGGTCATATAACACGAAAAGTTCATAATATAGACTTATATTCGTTATATCACTACAAGAAAACAAATATAATTTTGTAAAATTTTTTCTGTTTTTAATTCAAAACCGATTGGCGATAAGATTGGCCTAAATTTCTTATATATTAATGCAACTCCTTTTAAATTTCAGATATAGGTTTCTAATATGCCTCCTTGAGATAATGGTTTTTATCGGCTTATCTCGAACCGAATCCCACTTTAAGACCGGTAATAAACTCTTCTTAGATTATTCTTTTTAGGTCAATAAATGAGGTTATGTTAAATTTTTTAAATTTCTAACTCAAAACCAAATGACGATAAGTATATTGGTCCAAACTCCTTCTATACTAGTGCTAATCTCTTTAAACTTCCAATATGAGATTCGAACAAATTCGGACAGAATTTCCGATGGATATAAAATAAGAGTTAGTTTCCTTTCATGGTTTTAGTTTCCCATAATTGATGAATGATTTTACCAAAAAATGTATATTTGCATAGATATTCTATTTTCCAGCATCAAAAGGAGGCTTCAACATACAAAAAAAAAAGAACTTTGTAATTTTTTTGTATGTGTACAGAATGGTTTAGGGAGATAATTATGCTGTCAACCTTCTCAGCAAGCAATGACTTGCATTTGATAGCTAAACGGATATTGATGTTGCCCGACGACCTTAATCAGTTTTGTGGAATTTGATGCTTGTAAATATAGCATCTGTTCCCATTTGCTATTGATTCATTTAATGTAACAATGTTGGTTTTTTTTAGTTACAATAAAGGTTACATTCAATTCAAAAAAAAAAAATATATATATATATATATATATATATATATATATATCAGCTGTTGATCAATTCGGCGTGAGAAATATAAAATTTTACAAAGGAAAATCTTATCAACGATGTTTTAATTAGTTTGTACTTGAAATACCACCTTAACATCAAAATTTAGTTGGTTATATATTATTACCCAGATATACAGTTTCGGTTTTATTAACTTGTACTCTTTTTTTTTCATCCCTATCCCTATCAAATTCAGACCACTTGCAAACCATTGAAAAAGTCTTACTAATTAAAATAAAAGATGGAACGACAACTTTGGACGCATATGTGTTCTTCTTCATCTTAGAGATATCAAAGATAACATAATTTCATCTCGAGAATAATTGTGATTTTGTCATGATACGTACTTAGTAAGAGAATAATATTGTAAATTGGTGCAAAAAGGGGTATTATTCAAATAGTTAACACAACTAAAACATTAGTTATGAAAGAGAATGTTCATGTTTTTTTTCCAATTAACGTGATTCAAATCATATATTTTTTTTCTTTTTCTTTTTCTTCCTAATCTTCTTAAATAATATAAATCTATGAAAATCTAAAAGATATAAGCAAATCTAATATAACTATAGTAAGGAAAACTTTAGTAGATTACACCAATTTTAAAAGTGTAACTACAACTATAACTTATATATGCTAAGATCATGATCAACGAGAAAAGGAGAATTGTGTGGACAGGAAATGAGAAAAGGAAAAATAAAAGTTGAAAATTGTATTCTGATCTTGAAAATATCACTTACTTACGACGCACGACTATGACTCACTATTCTTAAAAGTATATGAATTTACATGTAATAGTTAGAAGCATGAAACATGTGGATTTGTACATCATTTGCTGCAAACAACTACGTGTACCTTTTTTTTTTGTTTTTTCTTTTTTTTGGTCAAACTGTCAAACATATACATCAATAATATTAATAAAGAGGAATAATCTGAAACACTCATTTGTGGAATTATTTAATCTCTTGTATACTCTTTCATCTTTTTGTATATTTCGCGGATCTCGCACTTTTTAATGAGATTAGAAATAGAAATTCGGTAAATGATAATTAAGCGTAGATGAACAAATGAAGAACAACTTACCCAATTTCGGCCAATGAGATATAAGCACAACTAACCAATCAGAAACGACCATCTAAAAAACTGACCAATCAGGAGCGTGGAGACAAATATTAGGCGCCAAAAATTTATCCAATCGGGAACAGCCTTTGTCGGGAGGACCATCTTGAAACCATCATTGACCAGAGTCCTCTCCCAGCGATCGCGACAGAGAGAACGAGAGATCGTCGAGTCCTTCTTGACATTTTGCTGCACTGATCCGACATTGAAGGCTAATCGAGGTAATTGACATTTCTGTGGTTGGATTTTCTTATCTTGTTTTGATTTTGGGAAGTCGTTGCCTTAGAACCACTATTGGGAATTAAATTTGATTATTGAATAGGGAATTGTAGATTATGAAAATGGTGATTGGATGGATATTTAGTGGATTTGAGGTTTAGATGTTATACCGCAGTAAATGAGACGATTAGAGTATTTTCCTGGAGTCTAATTATGAGAGGAGGACGAGAGAGAGAGTAACAACTGGTATCACTTGCATACAACTGGAAACAATTGGAAACATAGTATCACTTGCGTACAACTGGAAAGTCCAATTTTTATGCAGTTGAGTATGGTGTATCTGTTATTTTTTTTCAAGTGATAATGATTACGAACATATCTTTTGATTATAGGGGGATATTATTCAGCTTCAGAGGATAAATGGATTTCAGCACCAGCTTCCATGTATGGTGTAATGTTTAAGTCATCAACTTTGGAGGAGATTACTTATTCTGGTTTAGTGGATAAGATATGCACGAAGGTTGGGATTGTCGAATCTTCGAGTAAGCTGAATCTGAGTTACATTCCAGTACTAATGTAAACTCAGAGATATTATATATTTCGAATGACGATGATCTAGCTGTGTTCCTGACCTCATTGGATAAAGAGGGACACATAAGTATTATTCATGTAGAGGTCATCAAAGATGTTGAAGTTGGTGAGGAATTTTTTAGAGTTGAGAGGGTAAGTTCAGTTGGTATCAATTAAGGGGGGTTGCGTTTAGGTAATGGTGGATTAAATAATGGTGTACTTGCTATTTACACAGGCAACTGTTCAGCAAAACAACATCAACAGAATGTCTCGGTGATAGAGGAAGCTGATGATGATGATGTTGACGAGGGAAAAGATGGTGATGATATAACACGTGACAATGGAGAAGGTGGTGATGATGTATCACGTGAAAATGGAGTAGATGATGGCAATGGAGTAGATGATGGTAAAGCGAAGTTTGATAATGAGGAGGAAGAATACAGACGGTTTGATTTTGATGATGGTTCCCGTGCTGAAGTAGAAACACAACATTTTGAATGAGATGATGGTATGAATCTGAGAGTAGGGCAACAATTTGCATGTAAACAAGATTTGATAGATTTATTGTATAGAGCTTCACATTAGAATTTTTTGGTCTGAATATAAATAATTCAGATAAGAAGCGATACATGGTGAAATGCGGTGAAATGAGTTGTAATTGGTATTTACGAGCTTGGAAGGATGCGAATACACCCTGTTTTTCTGTTATAGTATACCGGAAGATGCATAGTTGTTCTCGGGCCAGTGCGAGTACAAAGAGCAAACAAAAGAAAAGAACACCATGATTAATTGCATCTGTTGTTAAGGAAACGTATCCAAGTCGATAAGATACACCAACTCCTCACGCTGTCATGGTTATAGTTAAAAATAATGCTTCTGTGAGTGTGTCATACTCTACCGCATGGAGAGGAATACAAAAAGCTAAATCTCTGATTCATGGTTATCCTGAAGACAGCTATAGATATCTGTACTCGTATTTGTACATGCTAGAGCACGTGAATCTAGGTACAAAACACAATGTGTTACTGGACGGACAAGTTCTTATTTGTCGCTTTGGGAGCTTGCATTGACGGGTTTGTAGCAATGAGGAAAGTGGTAACTGTTGATGCAACTTTTTTGAAAGCTGGAATGGGTTGTCAGCTAGTCTTTGCTGCTTGTCAGGATGGTAATCGTCACCATTATCCGTTTGATTTTGGAGTAATTGATGCAGAAAAAAAATGACAGTCGTGGCTGGTATTTCAGGGAGTTATAAACTGTTATACCCGATAGTCCTGAATTGGTTATTGTTTCTGACAGAAATGTAAGCCTCATCAATGCAGTAGCTGAGGTGTACCCGGAAGCTAAACATGGGTATTGCATCTGGAATCTGAGCCAGAATATGAAATTGCACTCAAGGGATAGAGAAATAGTTGCAGAGACATTCATGGAGTGCGCAAGACAGTACACAGAGGCCGAGTTTCTTGATCATTATACAAGGATGACATTAAAGTATCCTAATGTGACCGAGTATCTAGAAAGGCGTGTAGAAGTATCAAAATGGGCCAGGTGCTATTTTCAAGG